TATATATATATATATATATATATTCCAATGTTATATATATATATATATTCAGTGTTTTATATTATAAAATAACCAAAACTTTTATGAAATCACATATTCATCAAATTAAATGGACGGTTGAGATTAAATTTTATTGGTTGTACAAATATAAAAAATTGCATAATAACTCATCCCCCCTCTCTCTCTCTCTATACAGACCCGTTCTTGACATTTTATGGGCCTTGGGCGAACGTAAAAACAGGGCCCACCGCATTTGAATCTCCGTGACCACAAGGGGATTTTTGTTCCTTCTTGGATTTGAACATGGGACCTCTAGACACTTTTGACTTTTGCAGTCAAACTCAAACCAATTAGGCACCACCCTTGTGGTTACTTAAATTTACGTATTTTTTATTAGGTAATTTGAAACCAAGAGTATCAAAACTATGGTTGATAAATTTTTATAAGAAGTAAGATTTTTTTAGTTTATAACAAGAAATATGTGTTATTTTGATAATAATAAAAAAAATGAATTCGTGTGAATGAAGTAATCGTGAGGGTCAATGAGAGATCAATACTAAAGAAGATTATCAAGGTTTTCTAGACAAGTAGACAAATGAGGATCAATAAAAATATGAAAGAAAAAAAATGATTCATTAAGATCTAATAAGAATAAATAATAAATTAAATATATAATATGCAAGCTCAACAAATGATTGTTTGAGTACTTAAATGGAATCTTGTAGTGCGGTGGAATCTCAATGAAAGATATATAAGTCAAATAATTGATGAAAATATTTAAATTTTATTTTCCTTCTTTTTTTGCTCAACTAAAATAAGATGTTAAAGATTAAAATTTTATGGAACATGACATATATAAGAGACATTACTAAATATATCTAGTAGAAAAAAAATTATTGATTAATCACAAAATTATGAAACACGTCATAAATTATAAAAACAATAGATTGATTGTCAAACAATAGTAAAATATTTTATATAGAAGCAAAAATAGATAACAATAGTCAACAAAAACAATTAGAACAACATAACCAAATAGCAATAGTCAATAGAAGCAGAAATTGATAAAAATATCCAACAAAAATATATAGCAATAACAAGCACATGATCTTAACGTTGAATTGTTAAAGCATGAAAACAACCAAACATATAGAGATAACAATAACCAATATGATTGGACCTTGTTCAAGATAAAAAAAATTAGAGGGACAATAAATAATAGCATATAATGAATGGCCAATTAATTTTTTTTATTTTCTTCTCCAATATAATTAGTTGAAACATTTTTAGGCCTTTATTATGTACTAATTTTTTTTGCTTCTTATTATATGTTACAATTTTTTGGGTTTCTTTATTTCATTAAATTCTTTTAGACTACTATTGTACTTTTAAGGAAAAAATTTGGACCCCTGATATTTTTGGGCCCTGGGCGTGCGCCCGTGCCGCCCTCCCCCAGGGACGGCCCTGTCTCTATATATATGTATGTATCAATTGAAAGAGATAAAATGAAATATACCAATAAACGTGGTGTAAAAGTTGGTGTTACCCATCAAAGAAAAATCATCGTTTGCATCGAAATTTACACCGATTTTATAGATTCGGTGTTATCCATTGAAGATGCCTTTAGTAAGTTCCAAATTTTCTCAACACATTTACTAAATTATTGTAAGCACAAATTTTATTATAAAACGCTAATAAATATTTAAAATTTAATAGAACTAAAAAAAAATGAGTAGTTACAGTGATTTTGTTCAAATAAAAGACAGTCTTTAACTTGATCCCATACTCCTTGCTAGCCTCAATCACCGAGTAAAGTTAGAAAATGCCCTCTTATATTGATGTTTTTAAAGACAGGTTTCTGTAAGTCATTTGGATTATCTGTAATGAACTTTTTGTCCAAATAATAGTTCATAATTGACATCTACCCATTGAAACATGAGGATGAGCTATTTCTGGTGTTGGATTTGTAAGTAGTCTAACACACACATATGGCCATGAAGTGATAAGGTATCTTTCACTATCTCCCTTGGACAACCAAAAAGGCATTAGAAATGACTCAACCTACCACAACAATAAACAATTTACAATTTTGGGTCTAAAAGGTGTAAGAAGTTGAAGCATTTTTGGTCTGGATTTGGCAATTTTAGGTTTGGAGAAAGTGCATACATTGTTCCATGTAGGCAAGGGAATGGACCCCAATCCCCATCTTTATTATAGGAAACATGATTATATCTTCATCCCATTCTACAACGGGAAACGTGGATCGGGGAACCGGAGACCTTTTTCCCCCAATTTAGCATAGTGGAATAGGTATCGGATGGAAACCTAGTCTTGTTTTTGTAGTAATTTTTTTGGTCATCTTTCTGATTGATATATAAAATATATTTGAATTAATTATTGTTTATTATAATACGGGAAGGGTTGGGGAATATGATACCCAACCCTATCTTCGATTTGAGCCAAATGGGGATCCTCATCCCTGGGGATACCAGTCCTTGATCGGGACAGGTAAACCGGGGGTCCCCGACTCATCATGCCTAGTTCCATGTTCAAAGGCAGTAAAATTTTATTGAAACGAACTAAATACAAAAACAATCTTCAAAGTTTTCCTATAAGATGCAGAAAAAACCCAACAATCCTAAAAATCACACGCTAAAAACACAGAATAAAACAACTACTAAAACCAAAAAATTATAAAAGCTCACTAGCAAATACATCCCGATTGAACCATAAGAACACAGATCTCATCAAAAAAAGCCATGTAAAGAAGAACGATTAGCAAGTAGATGTGCTTTGGAGTCAAGAAACATGTTGGGTCAAATTCATATGCTTGTCTTCATAAATCTAACCACAAACAATATTGTCTTTATTTATATCTATACTATATTATAAAGCATTTGGCTAAAACTCTTAAAAACTCTTAAACTCTTAAAACTCTTAAACCCGTTCATTCTTAAACAATTTCATCCCTATCCGATTTCATCCCATAACTGAATTCGTGTAACTAACTGCAGATAAACACAATCAAATACAGGATAAACATCTCATT